CAATTAACCACTCTATGTAACGACCTGATTCCGTCGTTAGGGAAAAGCCAATAGGGAAAGAATTGGGGCCACAAAACTTTTGAGTACTAACTTGAAATTTCTTAGCCTAGTCCAGATTTAGATGAAATCGGAGTCAGGCGAGTCTAGAGAAATTTGGTAGCAATTGGGTTATCTAATTATGATTTTGATCAAATGGTAGATAACTAAGACGTTAAGAAACCCGTACGACTTTACGAAATTGAATTCGAGCGAGTAGAACTCCCGAAACTGATCTTAGCATGAACGGGTCTGTTCTGAGTGTCTTGGGATGAAGGTGTGTTGTGAAATGGGGGCTTCGAATTCAAATTCCAACATTCTATCTCTGTGCATGCCGCTGTAGCGGGATGGGTCGCGCTGTAGCGGGATAGACACCACTTAAGTCGGAAATAAAACCCCAAAAACGTTTTATTTTGCACTTTTTGACTTTAAGAGCTAGGAGACGACCCCAGACGAGTTCTTGAGCGTTTTTCACCATTCTTGAGGCAAAATGTAAGGTTTTCACTTCCCAATTCGTGTTTCGATCCGTAAAACTTAGATTTTTGGGTAATTATCGATGGAAGAGGGTTTTGATCAAGGAATTATGGTGGAAAAAGCCCTAATCTGGGTGTGGGGATCATGAATTTGGTATAGGTTATTGAGTTCGTTATAATTCGGATAATTAGACCTTTGATTGTTGATCCTTACATATTAATTGTTGTTTGTAGACTTAGACTTAGCGGAATGAATTCAGAAAGGGAAGATTCAAGTGTCTTAGGGGATTCAAGCTTGGATTCGATGTAGGTGATGGTTGTGATTTCATGTTAGTGTGATATATGTTTGTAATTGCTCATTATAATGCATGTATGTATGCGAATGTTGCATTATTGATCACCCTAATCGTAAATGAGGATAATTGAATAATTGTATGCTATGAATCATGACTTGATTGTATGATTATGAGAATGTACTTGTGGTTGTGATTGTGATTGTGGCTTGTTGAATGGATCGGGTGTTGCATTTCGACATACTAACTTGGATCAGTTGCCACGTTTCGACATAAATATGGGATCGGTTGCCACGTCCCGGCATAAACATGGGATCGGTTGCCACGTTCTAGAATAAACATTGGATTGATTGCCACATTTCGGCATAAACGTTGGATTTGGTACAACGTTCCGGTATGCTAACAGTTTGGGTGTGGGTTCCATGAGAGGACCATTGATTTGACATAACTATATATCTTGATAAATGTGAAATTGTTCGTTCTTAGTAAATGATATCGATATTGTGTATATTCGGTGTATGCATGTTATTATATTGTTGTAATGACTTATGTATATTGCACTAAATGGGATAGTCGCGTGATCCTATCAGTACAGTGTGGTTGCTTACTGATACTGCACTTGCTCTTTCTTTGTTGAGTACATGACATCTTTAGGTGACTATTGATAGACCTCAGCTAGGTGACTGTTGAGCGTGACCGGATTTAATGGTGAGCCAGTTTTTTCAGGCTGCTATGGATCTTTCTTGTTTAAGTCCACTTTTTTTGGACTCTGACTTTTGTTTAAGCTATTGTTTAGTTTCGGGGTGTTACCCCTTGTTCTTAGACTCGTCGATAGTAGAGTTTGGTACAATGACTTTTAGGTTCTAGGGGTTGTTCTTCCGCATTAGTTTGGTTAGTTGTTTGTTAAAACCTTAGAGTTTATGGGGACTCCATTTTTTTAGTCATTTAAACCTGCTTTTGTATATGGTTCTCCCACCGGAGGGTTTATGTGGGTGCCAATCACGATGGTCTTGGTCGTGACAAAGTTGGTATCAGAACCCTAGATTCGTTGATCTCATTGTACCAAAACGAGTCTAGTAGAGTCTTGTAGAACGGTACGAAGACGTTCGTACTTTTCTTCAAGAGGCTATAAGACTTTAGGAAAAACTCAATTCTTTCTACTCCTTCGTGATATAACTTGAATCCAATTGGTATCTGGGTGATACGAATTGGTATCTTTCCACCTTCACTCTATGGTCTGAACTAGAGAAACAAAAGTGGTAACATCATCACTAGCAAGAGAGGATGTGTATAGACTATCGATAATTGAATAGGGTCATCTATGGAACAAATTAATTCAGAAATCGGGCTTGTATGTGAGTTGTAACTTGAAAACTGTGAATGTGGAAGTTGTATTTGCTTGGATGTGATGATAGGATCATGTGCATAATAAGTGTGGGTCTGAATTTTGATATCTGCAATATGTTGGCAGAATTGATTGAAACTATGCAAGTCGTAATTGCTGAGTATCGTGAAACTTGTTGTGAAAAGAAGGTCACGACTAATTAAGTTCGATGCAAGGGTCTAGATAATGTACGAGGTGATTCGTAAGAAAGATCTGGACGTGTCTTGCGCTTGAGTAATAACCGCGTGAGTGTCTGGGTGTATCCTGGGATGTGTGGGTTATGGTGTGGAATTAAGCATAATGAGTTGGATTGTGTATCGCTGGATTGACTCGTGGTAGACAATGATTATCCTAGTTTAGAGGATTATCCTAAATTGCTCGGTAAAGCTGAAAACCATTGGGAGATTTAGAAAAGAGAAAAACCCCAGAAAAATTTATTGCTTGGGTACTGTTTCCGTCTGAGCCGCTAGGGAGGAAGTTTTCCGCCAGCACAAGGCCTCCAGAGCGGGACAGAACCTCAGCCCTGTCTCCTCTGTTTTTTTCCCAGGTCTTCTTATAGAACCCGAATTGAATCCGAACTAACCCCCGCAATCCAAACAATGTTCAACAATCGAGGATATACTATAAAACCTTGTAATAAATTGAATGCTGTAAAAAACAGCAGAAAAAATAGCATCCATGTGATTACAAAAACAAAAGGAGTGTGCGAAATTTTTGAAATGTGAATTTTGGTTGACTTCGGTTGTCTTTTTGGGGGATGTAGTTTCAAGATAAGGGGTAATGGCAGATCCCCAAAAAATTGAAGCAATCAAGAATTAGGTCCGACTTAGTTTTGTGACTGAAATTAAGAGTTTTGTGGGGCTCGTTAGCTACTATCGTCGCTTGTGAAGGGATTAATGTCAAATTTGCATATTCAAGTTTATAGGTGACAACATTCAAGAAGTTTTGGTAAGGGACAGTTAGATAATGAACACCATTACTTTGGAAAATGCATTTAGTATTGTTGTCATAACATGTGTGGGTTGTTTAGCGAATGATGAAATTAAGTTATGTCAATTGAGGTTAGAACTATACTACGATTTCATAGATTGATTGTATATCAAGGAGGTTGCCTGTCAAGATGACATGACTCAGTTTTATGCTTTTTCGGGCAAGACCGAGTTTGAGGTGAGTGATGCAGTGATCACTAGTAGTGTTATTGTTTGTAACCGGATGACTATTGTTTTGTTTGATCCGAGTTCAACTTATTCATATGTGTCAGTTCAATTGCCTTGTGATTTTATGTGGTTTGTGATGTACTTGATGCCCCAATCCTTGTTTCTACTCAGTTGAAGAGTCAGTCATAGTCACCCACGTATATCGTGTTGTCCTGTTGTGCTTATGGATTTTCAGATTTGGGTTGATTTGGTTATGCTAGATATGAATGAGTTGATATAATCTTAGGCATGACTTGGTTGTCCCCCTATTATACCGGACTTAATTGTAATACTAAGTCGGTAACTCTAGAGGTCCCCGAGAAGGAAAGGTTAGAGTGTGAAGGGGGTACAAGCCTAAGTCAGCTAAGGTCATATCCTTCGTGCGGGGTAGGAAACTGGTGAGGCAGGATTGTTTGGCATAATTGGCTCATATTCGGGATGTTGAGGTCGAATCTCCTTCTATTGAGTCTATTCCGGTGGTGTCAGAATTGAGATAACTTAAAGCTCAAATCCAGGAGCTTTTTTATTAAGGTTTCATCCCTCCTAGTGCTTCCCCGTGGGGTGTTCCTGTCTTATTTGTTAAGAAGAATGATGGTAGTATGGAGACTGGTGATTTTATCTTAAGCTATAAAAAAGTGGATTGATACTGGAATGACAAACGTATGAATAAAGAAAGTGTAACGACCCTTCCGTAATAATATAAGCCTATAATAATACAAGCCAATAACTCACGAGATTTTTGCATATATATTGTCCTCACACTAGTAAAAATGATATAAAAAGAATATTACAAACTTTCGAGTACTCAAACTATGTGGTTCATGCTTCACGCAATCATTCAAAATTAGTGGTAAATTTAACAAATTACAAGACTTGAGCTTATACACCCCAAAAGAACAAAACATAGAGTCATACTTATATTACAACCTATGGTGACATGATCACATTAGTCCTCAAAATTTCATGTAAATATACACCACATAGATCATGTACAAGTCCCAAGGTTTATACAAAATATAGATGCCTATATGCAATTGTGATCTTCCATCACCAATGGCCAGCTTCATGCCTCCTCTCGATCATTCTCTACGATAGAAACAACTATCGCTAAGCATATAGCTTAGTAGTGTAAAAACTATAGGTTCGGAGTCATCAGATTCGCAAAACTACCTTTCTCAAGTCATGGGCAACATAATCGAACATAATAAATAAATCAAGTAAACAATATATCAAGAGTATCAAGTTTGATAATTAGAGGTCCAAATGTAAAGAACGCTCATAGTACCAATTTTCAAAAGATTCAATAACAAGGCTCGCCCAATATGTACATCATGTCTTCACACCAAGCACAATCAAGTATCAAGAAGACCCGACGCCCTGTATCAAGAAGGGTCAAATCCCAATAATCAAGAGAACCAAGAACCATATTAAAAATGGCTTTCTAGTTCGTACTTAAAATGGACAACTTCCATTCTTAAGCCGGACTACAAATCCAGAGTAAAGATGACAAATGATCCGAATCAAGAGGCATGCCAATAGTGATAAAGTCACAGCCACAAGAAAGACAAGGTCCCAACAAAAGTGCCAAGTGATCAAACAATCTGTACAAGTGGGCGAGTTACACAAGCGTCTTTAACGTCTTAAGAATACCAACACGACAATGCAAAGTGACAAGAGGTAACCAAGGTACCAAGATCAACCTTCAGATATACCAGCAGTTAAAAGAGTACAAATACAAGTTTATACACAAACCTCAGTGCTTTAGCAAAGAAACAGTCCAACACAAGTTCAAGAGTTCAAACCGTAGACCAACCAATGTATTAAGGTCCTCAACTGGTTCACGAGTATATACAACCTCTAAAATACAATTAAATAACTTCTTTAATCCCTAGCAGCTCAATAATTTTGATGTAAAATAGGATTATCATCACAAGTAAGATTAGCCTGTACAAACACAACTATGCTCCCAAAACAGTGATTCTGGCCAGCCTAGTACCTCATGTCGCAACTTAGATTTGAAAAGGAAAACGGAAAAACTAGACTTTATAGCCTTCATGAAAGATGTAGCTACATCTCTTAAGGTTGCAAACAAATAAGAATCACCGCAAAATATATTTTGTACAACAAAATATAGTCAAAACACTAACAGTTGTTCATATAGGATTTGAAATTCCAAAATCTGGACAGAACTTGTCATATGTTGCGTCCAATATTTCAAATCCATAACAGCTAAATCAGAGTTTTACATAAATATAAGAGTTGTAGGTCTACTAATTAGCTTTCCGAATCATATTTATTCACTGTAAACTAAGTTCTAGAGCGAGCGATATGCATAAAATACCAAACACTACCCAGCTCAGAAACAAATTTTGTCACTTACCAACAAGAAGTGTGTGTTCTTGAATTCCAGCCAAAAGGGCCAAGTTTTTATTTTGTAATTTTGAAGAACAACTGATTAAAGAAGGCTCTAAGTTTTTCTAGACTTGAAAAAAAAATGAATTAACTCAAGGTGATGAAAATATATATAGTCACACAAGTGATGTTTATCACTTGTACAACTGTCTCCAAAAAGGGCAGCCCAAATAGTTGTGTGCTGCCCAAAATGCATACATATACACCTATATATATATATCCCTCATCTCCTTTTAAAGTTATACATAATTGTAATTAGAATATTTATGAAAATACCCTAATACAATACCTTAAATTACTATCACAATTTATGTTAAGCAAGTTAGCAATTATCACAACATTTCAAGTTCCCAAAATGAGACTAAAACATATTCTAGTAATTAAGCAATGGTAAATCGACATGCGACTCTTGGTTAGTATTTAGGGGTGATACAATTCTCTCCCCCTTAAAGAATTTCGTCTCGAAATTTACCTTACACTAGTCCGGAATAAGTGCGGATACTGGGTCCTCATGTCTTCTTCTCTTTCCCAGGTAGCTTCCTTTCCAGAATGGTTCCTCCAAAGCACCTTTACTAAGGGAATTCTCTTGTTTCTAAGTTGCTTTACTTCTCGAGCTTCAATCTGGATAGGTTCTTCATTATATGTCAAGTCAGGATTAACCTCAATAGATTCAACTGGAAGAACATGCGATGGATCAGAACGATATCTTCTGAGCATAGAAACATGAAAGACAATGTGGATCTTCTCCAACTCCGGTGGCAAAGCTAATTTATATGCAACTGGTCCAATCCTTTCAAGTATCTCATAAGGTCCAATGAATTGGGGACTAAGCTTTCCTTTTTGGCCAAATCTCATAATCTTTTTCCATGGAGACACCTTTAAGAATACTTTATCTCCCACTTGATATTCAATGTCACGCCTTTTAAGATCAGCGTACAACTTTTGTCAATCTGAAGAAATCTTTAGACGATCCTTGATAATTTTTACCTTGTCCTCTGTTTGTTGCACAATTTCAGGACCAACAAGCTTTCTTTCACCAACTTCACTCCAATAAAGAGGGGTTCGACATTTCCTTCCGTATAGAGCTTCATAGGGAGGCATTCCAATACTCGATTGGTGGCTATTATTATAAGCAAATTCTATCAAAGCCAAGTGTTTGTCCCAACTACCCTCAAACTCCATAATACAAGCTCGAAGCATATCCTCCAGAATTTGTGTCACTCTTTCCGACTGGCAGTCTGTTTGAGGATGGAACGAAGTGCTAAATTTCAGCTTAGTACCCAAAGCTTCCTGCAAGCTACCCCAAAATCTAGATGTAAACCTTGGGTCTCGGTCAGATACAATAGACATAAGGATACCAAGTAGTCTTACAATCTCACTAATGTACAATTCGGCTAAACGCTCAAGTGAGTAATCCATCCTGATTGCTAAGAAGTGAGCACTCTTGGTTAACCTATCCACAATCACCCATATTGCATCATGATTTCTTTGAGTGCGAGGAAGTCCAGAAACAAAGTCCATAGTTATTCTCTCATAATTTCATTTCGGCATCGACAAGGGCTGTAGTAAACCAACTGGGACTTGATGTTCTGCCTTTACTTGTTGACAAACCAAACATTTGGAAATGAACTCCGCAATGTCACTCTTCATACCATTCCACCAATAATGTTCCTTGATGGTCTGGTACATCTTTGTACCTCCAGGATGCATTGCATATGGTGAAGTATGTGCTTCATTCAGTATTTTTCTCCTCAAGTTGTCATCATTAGGGACGCATAACTTGTTCTGATAAAATAAGACACCATCCTCTAGTAATGTAAAATCCAACTTTTCCCCATTTTGAACTTCTCTGGTCAATTTTACAAGTTTCTCATCTATCTTTTGTGCTTCTTTTACCTGTTCAAGTAATATTGGCATTACCTGCAAATTAGCAATAACTGAACCAATTGAATCAGGTGTAAACCAAACATTCATGGCTCTTAACTCAAGGAGCAAGGGTAAATGACTCAAAGAAATGCTTGCAAAGGATTTTTGACTTAAGGCATCTGCAACCACATTGGCTTTACCTGGATGATAATCAATCGTGCAGTCATAATCCTTGATGAGTTCAAGCCATCTACGTTGTCGAAGGTTTAGCTCCTTCTGAGTACCCAAGTACATTAAGCTCTTGTGATCAGTGAATATATGACATTTCTCTCCATACAAATAATGCCGCCATATTTTTAAAGCAAACACTACAGCAGCAAGTTCAAGATCATGGGTAGGATAATTCAATTCATGCAGTTTTAATTTCTGAGAGGCATAAGGAATAACCTTCCCTTCTTGTATCAAAACACATCCTAGACCATTGTGAGAAGCATCATTGTATACTACATACTCTTTCCCTTCAATTGGTAGAGTAAGTATAGGCGCTTGAGTCAACAAGGATTTGAGAGTTTCAAAGCTCTCTTGGCATTTGTCATCCCAAATAAACTTTACTTCCTTCTGCAAGAGCTTAGTCAAGGGAGAGGCGATAATGGAAAAGCCTTTCACAAATCTTTTGTAGTATCCAGCTAAGCCTAAGAAACTTCTTACCTCGGTTGGACTTTTGGGAGGTCTCCATTCAACAACTGCTTTTATCTTACTAGGATCCACCTTCACACCTTCGGCTGATACAACATGTCCCAGAAACGTCACTTCATCAAGCCAAAATTCACACTTGGAAAGTTTAGCATAAAGTTCCTTCTCCTTCAAAATTTCCAAAATAATCCGGAGGTGTTTATCATGGTCTTCACTACTTCTGGAAAATATTAAAATATCATCTATAAAAACAACCACAAACTGATCTAGATAAGGCTTGAATACTCGATTCATTAGATCCATGAATACCGCAGGACCATTTGTCAATCCGAATGGCATCACCAAAAGTTCAAAATGACCATACCGAGTTCTAAAAGTAGTTTTAGGAATACCTTTCTCTCTAATACACAGTTGGTGATATCCAGACCTTAAATCAATCTTTGAGAATACTTTAGCACCCTTCAGTTGGTCAAACAAATTATCGATCCTCGGTAGTGGATATCTATTCTTGATTGTTATTCTGCTCAATTGTCTATAGTCAATACAAAGCCTAAGAGTGCCATCTTTCTTCTTTACGAATAAAACAAGGGCTCCCCAAGGAGAAACACTAGGTCGAATAAAACCTTTCTCAAGAAGTTATTGCAATTGAGATTTCAATTCCCTTAATTCTGCCGGAGCCATTCTATAAGAAGTGATAGAAATATGGGTAGATCCAGAAATAAGCTTGATTGGAAATTCAACCTCTCTTTTCGGGGGCAATCTAGGAAGGTTTTCTGGGAAGACTTCTGGAAAATCACATACAACAGGTATGTTCTTGATACAAGGACTTTTCAACTATGTATCAACTATGTGAGCAAGGTATGCCCTTCAACCTTGACACATCAGCTTTCTTGACAAGGTCGCAGAAATAATACTAGATGTCAATGATCTTTCACCTTGTACAATAATGTGTGAAAATGTTGGATCTTTAAAGGTCACATGCTTTGACCTACAATCTACCACTGCATGATATTTATGAAGCCAATCCATCCCGATAATAACATCAAAATCCTTAAAGGGCATTTCAATCAAATCAGTAGGGAAGACTAGGTTTTGAATCATGAATGGGCAATCACGATAAATTCTTTTACACACAACCTGATAATCCAAAGGACTTTCAACCAGGACATCATAATTAAGCCTCATAGATTTCACATTTTCAGGAGGAACAAGTGATGAACAAATATAGGAATGTGTAGAACCAGGAACAAACAGTGTAAACACACATAAGCCAAATAAGTGAAATTTATCGACAACCACGTCTTGTCCATCCTGCGCATCCCTCTGCATCATAGCATAAGTGTGTGCAGTAGTCCTTTGTCCACTAGCTTGATTAGCTCCACTTGTACATGCTGCTTGAGTGTTTTTAGGTCTTGCACCTCTATTAGTTTGAGGAGGATTAATAAAAGACTTATGAACTGAGCCTTCAGTTCTCAAGGAAAGAGCATTATTAGGATTAGGATATTTCTTCACTTTATGATCAAAGCTCCCACAATTGAAACATGCACCAAAAGCTCTCTTGCAAGTACCATAATGATTCTTTCCACATTGCGGACAAGTGGGAACACGAGGCTTGCCTTGGCCATAAGTTGGAGTGCTAGCTGTAGAAAAATCTGATCTATTTTGCTTTTGCTGCGGTGGCCTGTTATCACTACTAGCCTTAGAGTTATCAAACCTTCCCCTTTTTTATGGACCCCCAAAATCTGGTCTAGGCTTCTAGAATTTGTTTTCATTTCTACTAGCTTCTTTTTTATCAAGTCGCTCCCAAATAAAAGCAGCAGACACTAGATTACAAAAGTTCTCATGTTGCAGGATCGCCACATTCTTTCTAATGGAATCATTTAAACCATCTTCAAATTTCCTGCACTTGTCTTTTTCTTCTTTAATAATACCTCCAGCATAACGAGAGAGTCTTAGAAACTTCTGTTGGTGCTCAGCAATAGACATACCTCGTTGCCTTAAATTCAAAAACTCATTTCTCTTTGCATCACAATAAACAGGTGGGACATACTTCATACATAATTCTCTAAGAAAATCATCCCAAGTAAGAACATGAGGTTTTACCTTGGCATTTGGAACACTTACCCACCAATCGTAAGCATCATTTTGTAATAATGAAATAGCATATTTAAATTTGGCAACATTTGAACACTCTAACTGCTCAAATATCCTCTCCATGTGCTCCAACCATTGTTCAACATTCGTGGGATCAACGGTGCCTTCAAACTCCACTCCACCCATTTTTCTCATTTTCTCAAAGTTAATCACGTTGGGATCATGCATCGCTTCAGCCATGTGGTGGAAGAATTCATCCATTTGTTGAAAAAGAGGATTCATGGCTTAAGTACTACGACTCATGTGAGGATATGAACTAGGTCTTACACCCTGATGGTTTCCCACTTCAGACCCACTAGTGTGGGGAACATATTGATTCGAGACAGGTTCTCCAACCTCTTCTAGTGCATGAGGTTGGGGAATAGAGGTACCCGAACCTTCACGAGCAGCTTCCATAGGTCGGTCAGAAGAAGAGGCCATAACTTAATTCCTTCAAAAGGGAAGATCACATTGCATTAGGGACATGTACATGATCCATGTGCACTCTACATGCGATAAAAAATTTTTAAACCATGTAAGTGAACAAATAATCCAAATAAAACCTTTTTCGAATGTGAACAAGTATATAAGTAATTCACAACAAAAGTCCTAGAACCACAAACCTAGGCTCTGATACCAACACTTGTAACGACCCTTCCGTAATAATATAAGCCTATAATAATATAAGCCAATAACTCATGAGATTTTTGCATATATATATATATATTATCCTCACACTAGTAAAAATGATATAAAAAGAATATTACCAACTTTCGAGTACCCAAACTATGTGGTTCATGCTTCACGCAATCATTCAAAATTAGTGGTAAATTTAGCATATTACAATACTTGGGCTTACACACCCCAAAAGGACAAAATATAGAGTCATACTTATATTACAACCCATTGTGACATGATCACATTAGTCCTCAAAATTTCATGTAAATATACACCACATAGATCATGTACAAGTCACAAGGTTTATACAAAATATAGATGTCTATATGCAATTGTGATCTTCCATCACCAATGGCCAGCTTCATGCCTCCTCTCGATCATTCCCTACGATAGAAACAACTATCGCTAAGCATATAGCTTAGTAGTGTAAAAACTATAGGTTCGGAGCCATCAGATTCACAAAACTACCTTTCTCAAGTCATGGGCAGCATAATCGAACATAATAAATAAATCAAGTAAACAATATATCAAGAGTATCAAGTTCGATATTTAGAGGTCCAAATGTCAAGAACGCTCATAGTACCATTTTTCAAAAGATTCAATAACAAGGCTCGCCCAATATGTACATCATGTCTTCACACCAAGCACAATCAAGTATCAAGAAGACCCGACGCCCTGTATCAAGAAGGGTCAAAGCCCAATAATCAAGAGAACCAAGAACCATATTAAAAATGGCTTTCTAGTTCGTACTTAAAATGGACAACTTCCATTCTTAAGACGGACTAAAAATCCAGAGTCAAGATGACAAATGATCCGAATCAAGAGGCATGCCAATAGTGATAAAGTCACAGCCACAAGAAAGACAAGGTCCCAACAAAAGTGCCAAGTGATCAAACAATCTGTACAAGTGGGCGAGTTACACAAGCGTCTTTAACGTCTTAAGAATACCAACACGACAATGCAAAGTGACAAGAGGTAACCAAGGTACCAAGATCAACCTTCAGATATACCAGCAGTTAAAAGAGTACAAATACAAGTTTATACACAAACCTCAGTGCTTTAGCAAAGAAACAGTCCAACACAAGTTCAAGAGTTCAAACCGTAGACCAACCAATGTATTAAGGTCCTCAACTGGTTCACGAGTATATACAACCTCTAAAATACAATTAAATAACTTCTTTAATCCCTAGCAGCTCAATAATATTGATGTAAAATAGGATTATCATCACAAGTAAGATTAGCCTGTACAAACACAACTATGCTCCCAAAACAGTGATTCTGGCCAGCCTAGTACCTCATGTCGCAACTTAGATTTGAAAAGGAAAACGGAAAAACTAGACTTTATAGCCTTCATGAAAGATGTAGCTACCTCTCTTAAGGTTGCAAACAAATAAGAATCACCGCAAAATATATTTTGTACAACAAAATATAGTCAAAACACTAACAGTTGTTCATATAGGATTTGAAATTCCAAAATCTGGACAGAACTTGTCATATGTTGCGTCCAATATTTCAAATCCATAACAGCTAAATCAGAGTTTTACATAAATATAAGAGTTGTAGGTCTACTAATTAGCTTTCCGAATCATATTTATTCACTGTAAACTAAGTTCTAGAGCGAGCGATATGCATAAAATACCAAACACTACCCAGCTCAGAAACAAATTTTGTCACTTACCAACAAGAAGTGTGTGTTCTTGAATTCCAGCCAAGAGGGCCAAGAAGAACAACTGGTTAAAGAAGGCTCTATGTTTTTTTAGACTTGGAAAAAAAAAGAATTAACTCAAAGAGGTGAAAATATATATAGTCACACAAGTGATGTTTATCACTTGTACAACTGTCTCCAAAAAGGGCTGCCCAAATAGTTGTGTGCTGCTCAAAATGCATACATATACACCTATATATATCCTCATCTCCTTTTAAAGTTATACATAATTCTAATTAGAATATTACGAAAATACCCTAATACAATACCTGAAATTACGATCACAATTTATGTTAAGCAAGTTAGCAATTATCACAACATTTCAAGTTCCCAAAATGAGACTAAAACATATTCTAGTAATTAAGCAACGGTAAATCGACATGCGACTCTTGGTTAGTAATTAGGGGTGTTACAGAAAGTCCCTTTGAGTATACTTGGGTGAAGAAAATCTAAGATTGTAGTAATAAAATGCGTATAAAAATTGAGTTGGTCCTTTGATTTTGATGAGTATACCTGAGTTTGAGGTGTCATGTTGAAGAAAAGGTTAACTTCGTACTTATAGTCAAGGTTGACTAAGTGTAATGGTAATAAGAGTTCGTGATAGATTATGACGGGATGCAACTATATAATAAGATTGTTGGTTAAGTGAATTTGGTATAGTAATTACAACTTGCGAGCATCCAAGGTTGTGGTTTTCTAATATTTAGTGAAGTGATGTGGTTGTATGGCAAGTTTTAAGAGATGGTGGGACCCCACTCGAATAGAATTTAAAAAGAGCTAGAGTCATAATGAAGAAAAATAGTGGGATGTAGTACAATCTTGAGAGAGAGGAGAGAGCAAAGATATTTTGTTTGAGTGCAAAGGCTGAAGAGATATCTTCAGGGGGTAGATAATTGGGTTCAGAGACGTGTGATTTCATTCGTTTTGTTATGGCTATGGTAATAGTGTCACAAGTCCGTCAAATTGGTTGAAAACTATTGGAAATGACTTGAGGAAAGAGTGGACAAACATTAGCTCGAGTGTGATGATGAGTGTTTTGTCTTAGTTTGAGTTAAGTAATGAGTACGATTGAATTTTTAGCAAAATATATTGTAAGATTGATAGAGATGCGATCAATGATAAGCGAAAATCCATGAATTCATAAAAATCTTCAAGGAATAAACTAATGTTGATAGATAATGGGATTGTGTTATACAGTTGAATTTACAATTAATGTTTTTCATTGTAAGTCTACATTCGTGGTGAGATATGTTATCAAGGTATGAATTGGCAAGGTGAGAAATGATCAATTGTACCGGTATTGAGCATTTGAAAGGACTTACACCTGGGTTGAGTCGTAAAGTTTATTACTATTGATTGTTAAATACCTAAGAAAGGTTTCATTTAAAAATTGTTGGGTTATAATAAGGTAAATGTTCGGAGTGTTATGATAGTTGTTAATATTGTGAGTATGATTCACTAGCTATGCTCTCGTTTGTTTTCACTTTTGTGGGTGGATCCCTAGTGGTGGATTAGGGGTACCAAATCTTGCGATGCTCTTGGTTGAGTGGGCAGATTGAGAAGATTTGGTTATTTTGAATGACATAATTGGTGTTGTCTTGGAGTTGTTAAAAGTATTTTAGTGGTTCTACATGTATGAAACGACCCCAAAAATGCTCGAAAATGTGCTTCGGAAACACCTATAATTGTAATTTCCATATATCTCAAAATCTGTGATTGATTTCATAAATTCGACTTCATATTCTAATTCATGGGGTCAAATTGAGTGGGAGATGGGTCTAACCCGAATTTTAGAGCAACCGTATCAAAATTTGAAAATCGCAAAATTTGCGATTTGGAGGGTCGACTTTAAAGGGGCATATCTCTTAGCACACAAGGAACTGGATGGGTCACAACCTATTAAATTAAAGCTCTTTGAGTTATCTTTCCAACGCACTTGGTTTCACCTCATTCCGAGTTAGGATGAAGGAGTTATGACCATTTTCGTAAAATCTGTCTGTGCAGATTTGCAATTTCCAGTGAGCTATTATTTTTTTAAGCCTCATTTTGAGGCTAAGTGTTGGGGGCGTTTTTTTTAAAAAGGGGATATGTCCCATACTTAGTCATTTTTAACTTCAAAAACACTCTCTAAGCCCTCTCCAAAATTCCACCAAGATCCTCAACCAAATTCAAAGATCTCAAGCTTCAATTCTCCATTCCAATCTTCATCAAGGATTCTCCAAAGTTGAGGTATGTGAGTTTGATTGTGGAAACCTTCTTTTTCACAAGTCCAACCATTTATCCTCTATTACTACTTCAAGTTTATGGGTCTTTATGATTATTTATGAACTCTTGAAGTATGGAATTACTACTACACACCCTATTATGGTCTATTTTGCATATTATCATGAAATGAAATTATTATGTAATGTTTATGGTTTTCATGTTTCCATGATCAAATTATGAAGGTTGATTTATATATATGTATGTTGTTGGTGGGCTGATTTATATGGATTTTGGAATTGGTTGGACTTAGTACTCTTGAAATACATGATTTTATTTACATGAACAGTAGCCCACCATGTGTTTGATAAAATGCTAATTTATAGAATTCTTAGGAAATTGAAGGTCCAATGTACATCCTATGAGTCGGATGGTTATATAATTACTGAAATTATGATGAAATGGACACATGTATATGATTTTCTCTATATAAGTGTTGTGAGTTGACCAAGCCTAGCTTGGGGGGTTGTAGGCCCGGGTAACCGTATCGAGGGGTTGGTACCTTGGTTGCCTAGTACGGGGGGTAGTAGGCCCGTATAACCATATCGAGGGGTTTGTACCTTGGTCCCTAGCTCGG